GTAATAACTTCTATAGTTATATAGATTTTGCATTATTATAAAAATTACTACGATAAAAATATTCGAAAATTAACACCAATATAATTTTAATTATACTAAAATAAATAGACTACATACGATATATTTAATATATATAGTATCGTGTACAAATAATAATATTATTACATTATATATAGTATTATAATAGTAAATTTCATGTGTTAAGGCCTTAAGGGTATGAGTCGAAACAGATTTCGAGAATTCGGTTAGCCGAGTTTTGGTTAGTTATATCGATTACACATTACCTATATAATAATATAATACTATATGTATATCTATGTATATGTGTAAGGTATAAATTAAGTAGCCCACCTTATTTGATTTATGATTAAAATGTATAAGGTGAAACGTTTCACAGCACTGTGCTCGATTTTTATATTGACAATAAAAATGTAATAATATTAAGCGATAATTCACTGTAAAATGTCCCTTCTAGCTTCTAAGATCTCCTAAGATCAAAATAGGTAATATTGTAACGAAGGACTTCGGGGACGGGGACGGTATAGATAAGGCCACATGTTAACAGTATATGTACCTAAAGGGAGAAAAATATAAGGTTGTTATTATATACTTTATTATACATAATAGTATAATATTAATTATAATAAYATTTTAATAACAAGACCTGACTAGTAAATCACAAAAAAAATCATAATAATACTATTGAGTAATAAATTAACGAGGGTGGTTATGTAACTTAAATGCTGATATAACTTAATCAAAATTACATTTAAACAAATAAATATATAGTTATAGTTATAATATTCAAACCTATAGGGTTAGTGAACTACATAAGTTGTATTATTTATTATTATTATTATTATTATTATTTTTTTTTTTTAACAATTTTAAGTATTTAGTACCTTTTGATCTACGCATAATAATTGTTTTGTTAGTTATATATATATAAATAAATATAAATCTATCTATTAATATTATGTGTGTTTTCATTTACATCAATGCATAATAATATATATTTATCGATATCTAATACATTTCTATATTATAGTGATACGATATAATTTAGATACGTTAAGGCACACGTGTCAATACATGAAAAACTTTCGAATAAATAAAAACAAATAAATAAATAACGCGGATCCGGTGCCGGAAATCGGACATAATAATAATAGACGGACGACAAAACGAATCGCCGACACTGCGTCGTCACCGAGGGGTATGTTTATGGTGGTGATTATGGATTAGGTGCCTCGCGTAGGCCATATTATAAAAGACAACTAATTTCTTTATCTTAGGTATGTGTTTTGCATTATTATTATAATAAATATATAATATATATAGTGACGTTAAGACGGCGTTGATAAACATAACGTTTAGTCATATGATGGAGTGCGGGGGTGGTGGTCGTGTCGATTAGGTGCGGCCGTGTTTACATGAGCTTCTGCTTGGCACATTCCGGGCAAATGATGTCTTCGGCGTCGGTGATGAAGCCCCTGCCAACCAGTGAGGTCTTGCATGAGGCGCAGATGAAACAATCGTTGTGCCAGTGACGATCCTCGAACGAGATGAATCTAGTGCCGCCGATTCCTGCGGGACGAAAAAACGAGAATTAGACATACAATAATACGAGTAGAAGAACTTTTTTTTAAATGGATATTTCGCTTAATATTTATTGTTATATGTTAGAATCTAATAGTATATATTTTTACTGGTGAAAATTCGGTATATTGTTTGAAAAAGGTGTTTTACGAAGTCGAGCCAAATTGGTTCCCATTTAAAAATAAGTGTTTTATTAGGTAGCACCAAATTGGTTCTCGTTTAATTACGAACATTTTTCTTCTCAATTTTATAAGCTTAGGACTGTCAACTTCAAAATAGAATAGGTTAAAAATGTGCGTTAATGAGCGTTAAAAAATATATAATGTATACAACTTAAAATCGTTGATTGGCAAATGTAAAGCAAACCATCTTTAAAYATTCAATTCGCAAAAGGTTTTTAACCATACAGTTCCCTAGGTATTGGTTATTTTTTTCTTGTTTGGTGGTGAGTTATAAGTACGGTTGCGTAACTATACCCACATATTTTTTGAATTTTTATATCTTTTTGAGGTACATACAGTGGCACCGAACACGTATGGCAAGTGGAGACTAATGCCACAGAATATTTTTATGTGGTGGTCCATGAGTGACAACATTTGTTAAATAATATAGGGTAAATATACTAAATAGTATTAAGGATATATTATTCTCCTTTCAACTTAAAGTTTAAAACCTGAATTATAGTTTTTTTTTTTTTTTTAAATAGAGGTGGCCCCCTCTATCCGTCTTGAGTGATTAGGTTACGTACTTTAGGTACTCTAAAACAGGATTTACCCCAGTGGTTTAAAAAAGGTTCACCGCCACTGGGTACAGCCGGTACAGGAAGTTGTATTATTTAAGATTCATTATATCTCAACTTAACATGTATGACTGAATACTTTCTAATGATAAAAACGATACTACGAGGGGTTCCGCATCAAAAATAAATGATGATTCTTATATTATGTTTCTGAGAAATAATATTATTGTTTCTCATCTTGTATTGCAGCTCAGGAACATCTCCAAATACACAATTACACGAATTTYGGTGCGTACGTACCAGTAATCGGTTTAACACATGAAGTGCATCTTTTGGCGAACAACTCTCCGAAACAATCTCCACAGTACGGTTTTTCGTCTCTGGACGTGAAACGCTGTCCAGCCAGCGACGTGCTGCAATGGCTACACGTAAAACATTCCCTGTGCCAAGGTTCGTTTTTATATGTCACACCGCCACTAGTGATAATCTGTTGCACACAAACAAAATTTGATTAGTCATATGCTAATATTATAAGGGTACAAAAATATTATCATAAATTATTATGGAGRAGATTTAAGATGACAACAAGCGCCCGATAATTAAAAGGTTTTGTATAGCACATTTTAATTTAAATTTAAAAAAAACCCATGATATTTTGTTGTTTATACTATGTATATATTATAATCTATTATAGTGCAGAATAAAATCCCAATAAATATCTATTTCGAGTGGGATTACTAACAACTGATGACAAAAGACGAAAATAAAAAATTAATTAAATTCACTTGTATGCTTTTTTTTTCTTTTCAAAATACAGTGCAGAAGTATCGTGTGGTTAGGTTTTTTTTTTATAAACTAATTTGAATAAAATATAGGTATAGCCATCAATATTAGGATTTATTACAGTATTATTAAATCAAAATAAATAAAAGTCAATGGAGCAAATATAATTTGACAATATACCTTTCATTTTCACTTACAATCATTCGTTTTTATGAGTAACAAAATATAATAGGTACCCTGCGTTATATCAACAAACCGCAATCAATCGTACCCATATAGCCAAATACAGCCAATCGTATTCCAATTTGTATTTCCATACAATTAGGTGATTAGCTGCTGAAAAGTCGAAAAAAAAATGCCACGTTTTTCGAGCTGGTGAAACGACACTTCCTCGTCACGCATACATTTAATTTGTACGTATTCAATAAATGTTATTGTTTCATATATAATATTATTATGCGTCGGATCGTTATGATACCGAATTGCAATTTTTAAGTTAGTCGGGTCGTATAGTTGTTATCATAGTACGATAGTGAATACGTTTTTAACGTTTTTAACGATATTATAATATTTAATGTGAAAATGGATCGTGTGTCACATTGCACCGAAAATCGAACCTTTGCTTCAATGTAATTTGTTATTGCGTATGATACCGTACCTTGTCACACTTAACACAACGGGTAGAGAACTTTTCCTCGTAGCAAGTGGCGCAGTAAACTTCCTGATCCCTGGGTATAAAGCTCTTGGTGCCGATGGCCGACTTGCACACAACGCAGCTGAAACATTTCTCGTGCCACTGTCTGGTCTTGTACTCCATCTTTTTCGTTCCTGGGGATAGAATATTATACGAATAAAAATAAAATAATATCACAAAAAATCGACGGTATGCATTACATTCGTTTATATACCTATCATAATATTATTAATTATTATGATACATATTATACGCATTGTGTTGGTACTTGGTATATTGCAATAAGAGTGTTCCGTTTTTTAAACCAGAATATTAATATTAATATAAAATTATTCTCCAATTTTTAGCGTTGCGATCCTATTGCCTCGATATAGCTATAATGGGACGCTATACATTGTTCTTTTTTAAATCTTAAATTAGTAAATAATTGTGAATTAAAAAATATTTATTTAAAAAAAAACCCCAAGTTTCTAATCGATGGTATTAGATATATAAAACAATTTATCAAATTGTAGTTACATACAATAAAATGATTAGGAACATCCGTATGCTTAAAATTGTTTTGAATGCAATTAAATTATTTGATTTGACATTTAAAATATTAATTAAAAGTGTACCTACTACATTAATTTCAATTTGAAAACTAAGTTTTCAAAGCATTAACAAAATAGTTAAAAAAACATTGAAAAATTTCAAATTCCTACCACATTGGTTAAACATCTACAAGTTTGTAGTCACTTTGCTTAGTATTCTTTAAAATAACGTAAAAAAATTTTCGAGAAAATATTTATGAAATTTATGTTTTTGAAAACTGATGCAGTTAATTTCAGATCGTTTTAGAAGTATATATTATACATATAAATATATATACTTATATATCATATATACGGTGGTTTTTAACGCATTTTAAATTTTATAATCTATATAATATAAGTTCCTGGTTTAAAAATTTCTGAAATTAGGAATTTTGCTCGTTAGAAAAAATTTTCAAATCCTAATGATAATCAAATTTTTATRATTTGATATATTTATTATTTAGTATGAGACAAAACATGTCAAAAATATTCAGTTATATAAAAAAAAAAATTGGTTGATGCTTATAACAGTATATTATGCGTTACTCTCATGTCTGGTATACAACTCGTAACTATTGTTTAGGTTTTTATTTATCATTGATTCTCCCTTTTCCTTTCCACCAAACACGGATAAATCATATCTAGGCCACTGTTGCAGACTTTGTCTAATATTGTCTGCGGTGCTGGACGACCGGTGAAAAAAAWATCAATCCGTACGATAGGTAGCGTTTAACGATAATCGCCCACTGAACAGTTTCTAACCTATACAGTCATACCTTCATCATCGCGGTTATTCACGA